GCAACTCTGCAAGGCAGCAGGAAGAAGTTGGAAAGAATACAAGGTCTGGAATCAGACTGACGTGGGTTCAAATCCTGCTTTATGTGTCTTGTCATCATCACTGACAAAGGAACTTAACAAGTTCGTGGCTCTCAGTATCAATTTCCTCACCTAAAAAAGTGAGTAGTACTGGCCTCCCAGGTATAATGCAACCATTGTTTTGTGAATTTTCAATAACAAGAGCAAACGCTTATGTAACATTTTGCTATATATCAGGCTTTGTTATACAAAAGTACTTCATATAAGTTAACTTATTTAATCTTCCAAACAACTTTAGGACATATGTAATTATATTACCCCCATTTTACAGATGAGAAACAAAGTTTGAAAGATTAAGTAACATATTCCAGTTCATATAGCCAGTAAGAGAAGGCTTGTTCTTGCTCTAAACCACTACATCACAACACCATTATTGAATCAGTTAATAAATCAAGGTCCTCCATCCACCTTCACTCCAATTCATCTCATTAAAATATTGACACTATCATCTTTTAATGAAAGAGAAAACTGATCAGTTACCTAGTTATAGTAACAAAAATTGTACTGGCAGAAATTATTTATTGTTACTGATCTTAATTCATCAATAAAATTGGTAAGTGGTTATTACAGTAACTAGTTATCCAAGATGCTAAATATGTTAAACATATTCCAATTCACTAAACAATTAGATGATTAAGAGTCATTCTGAGAAAACCCCCAAGGTAATCTTAATCCTAAATAAAGCTAATTCTTCAGTTTTATGGCCAATTAAAAGGCCACTAAATGCACATTCCAAATGGCAATAAAACCAAAATTACATGCAAGTTAACATATAAGCAACAAATTATTGCTTATAAAAAACTAACAACCACAAAAAGCTCCATACCAGCTAATGACTCTGGGATCTGTGGCACTTCGCAGACAGCTCCACTTCCACGGTGTTTCAGACCCCCGACACCAGGAAAACTCTGTGAGGTGTTAAGCCATCAACGCCACCTCCTACTGCCTCCTCACCTGCCCAACAAGTAATCCCGTGACAGCACTACTCTGACTCCGCCTTCACATGTGCTAAGTTTTGGGAGACAGTAAAGCCCCACTTTATCAGAAGACCTTTGAGAGCGAGAAAACTTCAATATTCTTTCACAATCCATGTCCTTTCTGATTATTCTGAGAGAAAATGTACGTAACATAGGCAGTATAAGACTATACTTTATAGTAAATAACTGATGCTTATTAAAACGGCAAAGCTCAGTTTGCTGTATTTCATCAGTAAATAACTCAGCTCGGGTTCTCATTTCCATCCTAGTATGGAACGACTGTTTCCAACACCCTCTCTTCCACCCACAGCTCTTGATACTCTATACCGAAACACCCACAATCCCTTTAATAGCATTAAAACAGAAATAGTCATGATCCTTGTTTATTTTAAATTACAGTATGGTCAAAGGAGCTGACTATACATTTTATCATCCTTCTCCCTTACCTCTGTCTCTGTTCCCATCAACATTACCTAAATCTAAGCCATAGGACTAGGTGGCAATACATGGTAGAGACACTTAATGCTTTATCATAGATGCTCCATCATAGCATTCAACTGTTACAATTCCCAAGAAAATGCTCAGTGCTGCAACTCACAAGCATATAAACACATTTTTACTACTTAATTGGAGCTAAAAATGAGCTTTGTAGATTAGGGCTGGAAAAGGTTTACATTTTTCAGACAACCAAAATTAGAAGATCATTTTGGTATGCAAAAGACGTGTACCAAATAAAGTAATAAATGTAACACTAAAAGTCTTCACGGGGCGGGGGGGGGAGGGGGACAGGGGGCATGTTTCACAGCCATCTTTCTCTGCAGAGCCTTTTCCCAGAGTGTAAAAGCCCCATCAGTGTGCCATATACTGCATTAGCATAGGGACTGCCAGGGCACCAAAGTGAGACAAACAGATGACAAGGAGCAGTCTGTACTTAATATCCCTAATTTGTAAATGATGAGACAGAAATAGCAACAACCGGTTTGTAAGCCAAAAAAAAAAGAGAGAAATAAATCATAAAAACCTTGCTGTCTGGAAAAAGTCCTTTCCCTTTATTAGCGGGTGTGTGCACAAATGCGCATGCATTTTTTTTTCAGGGAGGCCTAGGGAAGCTCGGACACAACAAATGCAGGACTGAGGAGGCATCACTGGTCTTCCCCAACAAGCTTTCTTGTTCCTCTTTTTATTCCTTGCCAACCACTAGATTCAAACTTCAACCTGAAGAGCCAGTAAATAATCAAAGTATCTATAATAGTTTATACTAAATTGATAGATAGTCATTTTGAAAAAAGTGAAATTTACTACTCTGATCATATTTTCTGGCAAATGACTTTAAGTCTTTTTTGATAATAGGTGAAGTAAAAATAACATACAGATGAGTCAGCAAACACATTTCTAGTCTTTACCACAATGCTTTACTTGGTTAAGAGGTAAGAAAAATATCGCCAGTCCCAACCCACCAATGTTATAACCACACTTCCCAAAGGTGATTAATATAAATCATAGAGTTGGAAAATTGCCCTCTGCCTCCAACAGAGAAGGTTTCCAAGCATCAAAATTTATCTTAACCCACTTGGAACTATTTCTCCATGCCAAACCTCCATACTCAAAAAAAAAAAGGCTTCCTTTCTTGCATAGTGTTTTCTGTCCAGTGAGTTAATCAATTCTTGAATTCTCATAAATGATTGCACAGGAAAACTTAAATGTAATTTTTTATAAAGATGAAATCTAAGCAAACCAAGATTAATCACAGTCCAGTGACCTGTTACAAACAAAGCTTTCATTGAATATGACCAGTAAAGCTGTTATCTTTGTCCTCAGAGAGTCCATATTTTGAGATTTATGAAAGGACATTATTCAAGTGAACAGCCACCTCTTAGGCACATAATTACCTGTTAGATCCAGGCTGGCATCTAGTCAACAGCTGGCTTCTAGTCAACAAGTTTACTACTACTCTTCAGAAATTTAAATTTTATAAGATTGTGCCTTTTACATTTTAGGAACAACACATCATTATACACAGGGACCTAATCTCTCTTTTTTAGAAAAAAGTGTAATATTCATAAGCTATCCAAACCCTGTTACACAGTCACCTTCTAGGTCATAAGCACCTGGTTTAAATCTACTCATTCCCTAGTACCATCAGGTAGCAAGCACACTACCTGTCAGTCTTTCCACTCACTACTTACCCGGCATCTCATGGTAACTGTTGAAGGACAGCGAAGCTGCTCTGGGCCACAGATCACATGGTTGTTACCACGGTTACCACATCAAACTGTCTGACCTTGAGTTTCTTCATGGATGTATGCACACCCTTTTGCAAGTCATGGCTCAGAGGCCACTAGCACTCTTGTATGTTTATTACCTTGTACACCTCCTACCCCCTCTAACTCACTGATTTTCAAGGTAGGGAGCATACAGAAAGGAGATGCCAGGGGCAAGGAAATGTTTAGAAACTGGGTAAGAACAACTTTCCAAATATGAAACTTCCCTCTGCCAAAATTCTGATCCATCCTTCTTAGGAGGACATCATCTCACCCCACCCCTTATCACAATAAGTCAAGAGGAAAGTATTTTAATGATGGGAGAGGAATCACAATATGTCAAGAGGAAAGTATTTTAATGATGGGAGAGTCCTTAAAAAGACAAAATCATAAAACTGTAAGCAGCCCCTGAGTAATGTCCAACCTCATCCCTGTCTATTGTTGTCCCTCCTTTTCTCTAATAAATAAGCTTTACTCAGGTAGTACAACATCCCTACAGTTGTACTAAGATTGTAGTAAGCAAATCTTTGGCCTTCTTTTTCACTTTCTTACAGCTATTATGGACAAACCACATAGATATCTACATGCCTCTCCTCACAAAATTTCCATGTTCTTGTACAATATTTTGTATTTACAAAAGTGACTTAGAATGAAAATCTAGTCATGGATGGCCGGAGTCCCAACTTCAGACAGATATGTTTGGAAAAAGTGAGTTGAGGTCCCCTGGAACCTGTGGAAGGGACCCAGATGTCTCCAGGGAAAGTACTTACCCTAAAGAGAAAGAAAATCAGGCAAAGAAGTTTGCCCCAGTCTCTGTCATCTGATTCTGAGGGAGATGTGATTCTGAGTTCTGTTTGGAGTCAGTCACTAAGATTTCTTGTTCCCCACCAACACCCCATGGATGCCTATCTCAGTCATAAAAAAAGGAGGATTCTAAAAAAAACTGAAAAAGGTGGTTTTCTCTAAAACATCTGTAGGACATTAGGGCAAACTATATTCCTGCTATGACATTTACTCTGCATATAATACAGCATAGCTCTCACACACCAAGAATGTCAAATATTAAGGTAGTATGATAGTATGGTACCTTAATGCTTCATGATTCAGTGCAGTGTACAGTAGCAGCCCTTAGTCATTTGGGGAGCATCCAAAAACAACTCTTTGTCATAAATACTGATATCTTCAAGGTGGACACACCTGCCACCACACACAAGGCACAAAGACCTTAGAAGATGACCTGCCTCACTGCCTCTGAGTTCACTGGGAGTACCTACCATCCACCCTCCAGCCCTAGCCAGGGCCTCCCAGAAGTAATGAGGTCATAATAATAGAAGTAATGGCATACAGGCTTTGAGAGGACAGAAAGATCCCCAATTTCAGCTGAGGGTAAGAGTCAAAGACACATGGATTGTGGGAGGCTAATAATACTAATGTGTATATTTAGAAAAATTTCCCTGGAATGTAATATTTTTATTATATTTTTCAATCTCCAGGTAAATGCTGTGCATGTAATTTCCACTTAAACATTTTCAAAAGTGTTGAAATTAAATCACTTGAAGACAAGGTCTCAATCTGCTATAACCTCCAAACTTCCCTTTAGTAGAAAATAAAACATTTACACCTTTACTTTTCCTCTTCCCCTCATTCATTCTCTCTTAACCGTATAAATATATAGTTGACATACCGAGTATATTAGCAGTACACTGAAGAATTCCTGAGACATCTTCAACTTCCTCTTTGTTGGAATGGTCTGCATAGGAGCATCTGTTAGAGATATTGTGGAAATTCTTTTCTGCATCCCTATAACTAAAAAAAAATAACAATTAGCATATGGAGAAAATGTTAAAGCATCTGTGAATGCACTCACGTACATACACACAAGCACATACAGTCCATGCTCTTAGTGTAATCACACTGTAAAATAACTGAACCTTTAATATATAATCTATGGCATAACCCTCCATTAAAATCAGCATTAGCAATGTGGACCTGTATCTGGAGACAATCATTAATAAGAAAGCTATGTTTGAAAAAAAATAAGGAAAACCAGAAGGTACATCAGCTTTATGTGACTAATGTTTCCTTATCTGACTGTTTCATAGCTGCTGGTAATCTGTTTCCATAAAGAAGTTGCCTAAAAAAAAATTTAACAGTACTAATTTGGTGCATTGGCACTAACTGTGTTGGACGTAAATACACCTTAACCTCTGGCACACTCAGTCAAGAAGACAGCAGTATGGTGCACAGATGATAAGCAAATAAATTGTTTGGAGTCTAACAGAATTGGAATTACAGTCATATGCTTTTCTTTTTGTATTAACATAATCAGTATACAATATCATATTACTTTCAGGTATACAACAGTTATTTAAGATTAATATACATAACGAAGTGATCACCATGCTACATCTAGTAACCATATGTCAGTATATAAGGTCGTTTCAGTATTATTGACTGTTTTCCTATGCTGTACATTACAGCCCATGGCTTATAACTGAAATTTTCTACCTTTTTCTCCGTTCACTTTTTTTGCCATTTTCTATCTGTGAGTTTGGGACAAGTAACCTAATCTCTGGTAGTGTAACTTTCCTCCCTCATAAAAAAGAGATGCCTCCTGGAACACTTGTGAAGACTAAATGACAGAACACCTGTGTAACCAGATGTTGACTGGAGCTTCCCCAGGTACCTCTGAATTAGAGCTAAAACACTAAAGCCGAAGACAACAGGTGCTAAACACTCCCACATTCCAAAAGAGTAGCCAAGAAGACGAGACAACTCACTCAGAACTTTAGAAATGATGACATAGCCACTGCCACTGTCACCCCATCACCAGCTTTCAGAAGCAAAGGCATACACAAAAATCAAAAGGAAATCCTCCAAGGAATGAGTAGTTGGCCTAGGGCTCCCTCCCTTATAAGGAAAAAAGGGGAGTACTCCCTGATGAAGCCCAGTTGAGATGATCCAGTTGGATGGACCCCAGATGACAAAGGGGTCCACCCCATAGAGTTTGGGGGTTGAATACCTCATTCCTCAGTGAACATCAGCTGGGGAATTCTGGATTATCCCTTTGTGCCTGACTGAGTAGAAAAATAACAGGGAAAAGAAATAAAGATGAATTGTGAACTGCCTACAGTCCCACCATTTGACAGGGCAGAAAAAAAGAGTTTCCCATGGATGAGGGAGATGCCACTAAAGATGGGCAAGCTTGACATCCCATCTACTGTTTCCCCAATCTAGGTACTGCAGCCAGGAGCAGGATTCCCACCAGTAAGACTGTGCAGTGCTGCCCTCAGGTCTAGGGCAGGAGGACCAGAAGCAAAGCGGAGCTCATACAGGCACCTCACTGAGGAAATCACAGCAAGAAAGCACTGTTACAACCACCAGTGAATTAGAAAAGACTTCTGCCATTTCTCCTTTTTATTCTAGCCTGATTTCTCCTTTTCATTCTAGCCTGACACAATACATCAGAAGATGCAGAGGCATAGAAAGGAGTGGCCTGGAGTGGTAGAGTGAAAATCCACATCATATCGTCTCTACACTGCTTTCTAAGTTCCCCAGGCGAAACCTGACCCAGGTGGAGAGGGATGTGAAAGTGAGATTGAATATGAGATTAAAGATTTCATCTGGTCTGAAGTGGACTTCATATTCCCTGAACATACTTGGAAAACAGGGCAATCTGTCCAAGCTAATATCAAAGGGGACTCATGCTAGCATGTTTGAAGTGATTGGAGAGAAACAGTAAAATGGTGTCATGGATGTATACCTCACTGAGGTCTAACTTCAAAAAACCAGTTAGGCAAATGCTTACTATAGTTTCTAGTTTCTAGAATGCAGGATGCACACAATAAAATGAAAAGTGGGGGGCACGGGTGTAAAACACAGACAAATACAGTGCTATTTTTAAATCGAGTGCCACCATTTTCACCAGTGTGACCTTAGACAAAATATTTTTGTCACAGCCTCAATTTATTCATTTGTATAATGATTCTATTAAATAGATGGTTAGGGCTAAATAAAATAACAGATGTAAAGTGAGCATATATTGCTTCAAACACAGGGTGCAATCAGTAGATATGAGCTTTCATCTAACTTTTTGTTCTTATGCAATAAGATAGTTAGTTTTTATAAATATATGAAAAAGAAGCTAGATAGTGTTTTAGATAACAAAATTTACGGCCACAAACTCTGAGCATGGAAGCCCAAGTAATGTCACTGAAGTTTATTTCCCAGAGTAACCAGGGTTCACCCACTCTTAATTTTACTTCTGATGTTCTACTTAAATTATTCTAGCTTAATCCCTATTCAGTTGTCAAAAGAAAAAGAGAACAGAAGGCTGGCTGTATAAAACAAACCTAGGGCCCACAATGATAATTGGTGTAATAGAATTTAATTTTAGATGACTACAGGAAACAGTGTCCCAGGCTAGTATGAGGTTGGCAGCACTCCTACCCATGGTATTAACACAACAACGCTAAACCTGGCAAAAAGCATAAATGAATGGCATCATTCTGAAAATGTATTTCTGTATACTTCAGTGTATAAAATATATAATAAATGAACATTACATCTCAGAAAGATTATCATGTGTTTTCCCATCATAGTTTTAAAAGGAATCTCTGCTTTGTCCACACTGTCATAGTAATCCACTTTTTTGTGAGCTATATACTAGTCAGAGTACTACAGTATAAGCATGAGTGAGAGCTGTTGGGTTGGGCACTCTAGAAGCAGAAATTTAGGTTAAAAAAATTCAAACTGTAAGAAGACAGCTGTAGCTACAAATGTGCTGGGTATGTTTATGTTTAGCTCCTGACATTAAACAATTGACTCTAAACTTTAAAGGCTCAAGGAGTACAGGGAGAAGATGTGGCAGGAGGATGATGGGAAAGACACTCCACAAAAACTGAGTTGCAAAGGAGTCAGGTACTAATAGTGGAATAATAATTCAATGAACACATTGACTACCTTTGTGTACCAGGCACTGTACTACTTTATATGATTATATGACAACATATTATCATTAATATTTTATCTAAACTTCACCCCAATACTATAATTACTCCCATTTAAGAAAACTGAGGATCAGAGTGGTTAAGTAATCAGCCCCAGATCATTCAAAGGCAGAATCTGACTTTAAGTCCAATAGATCTGTTACGTCTACTTCCACAGCACGTTTTCTCAGTCCCCTGCTCTATAGTACACAACGGAGATGCAGAGAGAGAAGAAAGGATAGAAGACAGCATCAAAAATGATATCAGACACAAATGTCATCATAAACCAGATTTTCCTCAATCCTGAGCTCCTTTTAACTCCTAAGGGGAACCCTGCTGATCTTCTGTTTATCCCTTTTTCTCACTATTCTTTCCACCCAGAACTGCCCCAAAACCCAGTCCATTCCCTAGAAGCTTGAGTTAAAGCAGCACAAAGATGCACACTCAGTGCCCCCTCTCTCATTAGAGGTTGAGGGGAGAAGACTGCTACACAAGCAAGAAGCTATCCAAGTGCACGTGCTTGTGTCGAGTTTATACAGTAATCAAAGTCAACCTAACACACTGTGGCAGAACATTAAACATTAATGGAAAACTATGCAAACAAATCAATATAATTTAGCTAGAAAGAAAAGGGTCCTGGGTACTAGCACTGTAATTTTAGAACTCTAATGGATCCTAGAGATTATGTCAACCCCTCATTTTATACCCCCTTCCAAAGCATAATTTAGTCTTTTATCTAATATATACATACCTCTGTGTACATACTTCTAAGGGGCAATTTATTCATTTATTCATACTCTCCCACAGCCCCTCCAAAATTTTCAGCCTCTCCTATGTACCAAGCATTTACAAAGGTACAGAAACATAGAAATAAGTGTGATAAATAACCAAATAATTAAATAAGTAAAATAATATAAGCTAATGATAAGCACTATGTCGAGAAATAATGAAAAGTAATATAATAAAAAAATGGTAGGGGTTAGAGACTGAGGCAGGTGATGGAGTGCCACTTTAGACTAGGTAGCAGGAAAGGTTCTTCTGAAGATATTACATTCAAATGGACCCCTAAATGTATAAAAAGAATAACCTACACAAACATCTGGGGACAGAGCATTCCAGAAAAATGAAACAGTGCACGCTAAGGCCTTAAGGTTGAGCAAGCCTGGTGTAATTGGGATACCAAGAGATGGCTGGAGTGCTGGGGTGGAGGGAAATAAGGAGAGTGGATGGGGATAAAGTCAGAGAGTTAAGTAGTGGACAAGGTCATGAGAAGAATTCAGGTTTTACTCTTTGACAGTCAGTCTTTATGTGGTTCAAAGCAGGGATTCCAAACTGTGATCCCTGGACCAGCAGCATCAGCATAATTTGGGAACTCAGAAATCCCAATTCCTTGGCTAAATTATAATAAATAAAATATCCATATTAGTGTCTCACCTAAAAATATATATGAATCTGACACTTCGAAGGTAATAAAAAAGGTAAAGTGATCATAAAAACAAAGTAGACTGTTTGTATGTGTATGTTTTTTCAAATACAAGTGATTAATAAGTATGAATTGTATTTTTAAAAATTCTTTTAAATGCCAGTTCTTGAGCTTCTCCCAGATATACCTGATAGGAACTCTGAGGGTAGGACTCAGTAATTTGAATTACAGCAAGCCTGACAGGTGATTCTGAAGCCCATTCACACTTGTGAACCACTAGTTTAAAGCAAGAAAGGGGTATGATCTAATTTTTAAATCATTTTGTTGCTGTGAGAACATAATGTTAAGGGATAGGAGTAGACACCAGAAAATTAGATGGAAATCTCTAGGTGAGAGACCATGATGACAGTGGAGATGAAGAGATTTATCACACTGCATGAATAAATTATTGTAGCACTCATTTCCAATTTGAATGATGTCTATGAATATATAAATGAACAAATGAATGGATAAGTTAAGAAACAGAATAAACATTTAAAGATAAAATTGTTGAGGTACAGAGAGGCTCTCCTACTCTCTAACAAGAGGCTCCATTGGCTGCTCCCTCCCAATCTCCATCTGTGTGATCCTTTGAACAACTACTCCCTCCATTCAAGTCTAAGTCTTGGAAACTAAAAATGCCTCATAGGATTTCTATAGGCTACTGGTGTATGTTCATCAAGAAACAGAATCATACCACTCTGGAGTTCTGATAAATAAAGCAGATCCAAGGACAGAGTTTTAAAGGAGAGGAAAGGGAGGATGGGAAGATCAGTGGTCAGAGGCTAAATTACAAAATTAAGAAGAGGAAGGCTAGCCCTGGGTGTGTGGCTCAATTGGTTGGAGCATCATAACTTACACCGAAAAGGTTGTGAGTTCGATCCCCATTTGGGGAGTGTACAGGAGGCAACTGATCAATGTTTCTCTCTCACATTGATGTTCCTCTCTTTTTCTCTTTAACCCTCCTCTCTCTTTCTCTTCAACCCTCCTCTCTCTCTAAAAGCAATGAAAAAAAAATGTCTTTGAGTGAGGATTAAGAGAGAGCAAGAAGGGGTAGCTCCTACTGTCAGTAATCCCTCTGGAATTCATCATCCCAACTCAAGGCACCTAAATGCTGAATTACCTCAAGACAAGCCTTAGGTAAAGCCCGATTTCAGAGATTAGGAAAAGCATCTCTCCCCCACCCTAATCTCCCCAGAAATATGTAAAATAATGCTTGCCAGCATTATTGTCTGAAACCCCTTTAATAGAAAAACACATTCCTTTTCACAGTTAGAAATGAAGTCTTTAATTGGATTTTTTTAAGAGGAAGAACACATTAGTATGTATACATGTTAATCCAAATGTTAGTGGTAACAGAGGCTCTCCTTTCTCAGTATTGAAAGATAAAGAAAGCAGGAAGAAGGAGTCTAAAATGCAAAAGAGCACATTGGACATGGAAGGCATGGCTGAAGGAAACAGAAAGACAAAGTCAGAAGAAGCAAATGTGACAACGCCCTGCCAGCTTGCCCTTTTTGCCTTCAACAGCAGGAGTGCAAACAATGGCAGTGAGCAAAGGTACTTCAAGTCCTCAGAAGGCAGCCAACAGTCAAAGAAAAAGTATGCTAACAGACCTATTTGCAACCAGTCAAACATCAGGACATCTCTGTATATCAAATCTCATTCCCTGTTTCCGTTATACTGTGTCTGCACTGAACAAAACTAGAAAAGACCACTTAGGCAATGAACAAAGAATCACCACAGGCTATGTCTGTGCAGATGGAGAAGAGAGGAGAGTTGAGGCAGTAATTCAGATAAAAGACAACTCCAAAGAATTTTCTGCTGATTATGGAAATATAGCTAAGTTATCTATTTATGACATTTATAAGATTCTCATTCCAATTTGCCTTGAAGACATAGTTTTAGTTCACAAATGGGACTATTTCATCAGTTATTATTTGATTTCAAATCAAAGAGGGCATTTATAAGTACAGAAAAAACTGCATTTGATTACTAATATTGTTATAAAAATATTAATAATGACAATGGTGATAAACCTAACAGCAAACATGTAGTATTTACCATATACCAGGAACAAATCTAGGTATATTGACAAATTTAATAAAAATACCATACTTGGAAAGCAGCATACCTATTGAGAGTGATTAATTTTTATTTTAGAATGTGTAGAAAGAGATTAATTTGACATTCTTTATCTCCACTAGGATAAACTACCTAAAATCCCTAATGGCCTCAAACTAAAAGCCATATCATGAGATTAAATAATATGTTTTTCCTAGTGCTGCTCTCTTGAGGATTGATATGACAAAGTTTGAAAGCAATTCCCTTTGCAATGACAATTAACATAATCATCAAGCACTTCAAGTACGATATTGTACAAAGTACTGAGATTACTTTTCCACCAAGTTTTTCTTCCCTTTTGCTTTGTAAAAAAAAAAAAATAAAATTACACAACAGCTTAGTAGACAAAAATATATTTTTGACCCCCACGGCAATGACTACTAACAATAAATGTTAAATGATTCCCAAAAGCATGTCAAGAGGTCCTAGCAACTTACTGAAAGATTATAAAATTTCATTTAAAGCTTCTTGGCCAGTACCATGAAATCTTACCACATTACTAAGGGAAAATTATGAGATTCAATGGATGAAAATAAAAGGGTAAAAACACAAGGAGAAAAAAGAAAAGGCAATGACAAAAGGGAATATTATTAAATGGATTAAACACAAATAAGCCTAAGGAAGTCACTCCACGGGCCCCTCCCCTCATGAGCCACACTCCACACTGAGAGCACAGCCTCGGTGAAATAAGGTTGACCAGGGTGGCAGGAAACCATATGCTCAACTGCTATGTTTGAGTAATTATCTTTAATTTGCCCCCAGTAATGACCAAAATCCATTTTTACTTACCCAATAACTTGGTGCTCATAATGCTGCAATGTCCTCTTGAGAGTTTGCTGGATCGTCTGAGGCTACAGAATAATAATAATAATAAAAATAAATTATCAGCAAATCAGTACCATTCCCATGCTGAGCATCATAAGCAGACATGTAGCTTCTGATTTATCTCATAAGAGTTCTTGCTTCACAATATTAACCCATTATGCATTTTGCCATGTATTTTTCCCACAGGAACTAATATGAGGCACTCAGCAATTACCCAGAATTTCCCAATTTCAAATATAATAGCATTTCCTAGCCATATTTTTCACAATTATTTTGTACCAGCTATTAAGTTCAATAAAAAGCTCATTGGCTGTTTATAATTAACGTAGGCCCTGGGGGCCACATGGGGAAGGGATAAACTCAAGAAACAGGGTCATGCGCAGGGCAAGCTGGATTCCCTCAACCACACAAGAGATTTCAGGCAAGGGCTCTGGAGCCCCCTACAGGGCCCGCAAGTGCTCCAGACAAGAAATGGGATCTGAAGCAAATACCTAAACAACTCATGACCAAATTTTAGAATTCTCTCTCTACTCCAAGACAGGTGAAAATAGAGGGGCTTTTTTAAATACCAAATCAAGAAATTCTTCTCAGGCCTATTTAGACAACAGAGCCTGAAGTTGCAGTTTCAGACCTAGGGAGCCATGAGCGTGACACCAAATCCCAGAACATAGATTTTATCCACAAATTATGATAAAAAACAAATTTTCAGTGGCAAGAGTGTGAATTTTTTTTAAATAAAAACTTTTAGTCAATCAAGCAGGAAAAAAGCTATCAAGGACCTATCAAAATATTGATCCCTCATAACCGTGGATAAATTTTAAGGGATTATAATGACTCCGACACAGACTCTTCAAGATGGGAGATGGCAAGGTAGTTAGATGATCTAGTGGGCTCCCACTACTTAAACTGCAAGAACCCAGACAGGTCTAAAAGAGTAAGCAGAAGAAAGGATCTAGCACAGTGCTTGTACCTAAGAAGCAGTTAAGAATTATCCGTTTATTTCCCATCTCTAATCTTTCAGAGTGGTCATCCTTATATTTAATTTTGAGGAGAATGCAAAGGTTGCTGTCAAGGTTCCACATTCACCTCTTTATGAAAACATCCAGGACAGATATAACTATCTCCCTGCCTAATAGTCCTCAAAGGGAATGGTTGTCTTAAAGCTAGAAAAAAGTGAACCTCAATGAAATCAAAACCATCCTCTGAGATGCTCTACACTGCTGTTTAGGAGATCCCTTACCCTGAGCAAATCTAAGGCCTCAGACACAATCTTTGCTTTAGCCAAGCCAATGCAGAAATTAATTTTAGGAGGAATCAGCCTCCAAGTGTTGAAAGAAAGAGGTACAGACAACTTCTTTCAATGGCTGTTTGTCATTCATAGCAGGTGAAAAAGGATGAACATGAGGCCTCAAACTGGCACAGATGTTTTTACTCATCAGGATAAAATCAAAGCAGAGTAAACAGAATGTGCCTGGGAAATAAAAATATTCCTGAAGGAAGAAGCAGCGGAGCTGTTGGGAAATCTAAAGAGGATGAAGCAGACACAGCAATCCTAGAGCACAGGGAAAGTGTGCTCTAAAAACCCACCCTACCGCCAACCTAACCCAAGTCATTAGCAGTCACTACCTCAGTACCCCTGGGAACTGGGCCTCCTGCACTGGCTTGGCAATTTCTGAGCTAAGATAACTTTCTCTTTGGCAACATGCCCTAGAAGCAGTTAATATCCACAAGGGGATTATCCTCCCAATAACCTCTGTCCCAAAACATGGAACACAAAGCAGGAACTAGAGAGTACACAGGGCCAGTTAAGACCAGAATGACCTCATTTTTACAAAAGGACATTTTTTCTCTATGCCAGGAATTTCCCAGTTATTAAAAAGCACATGTTTGTGAAAGGAGTTAAGACTTTTAAAGACTGACTTTTTTCTTTTGTGAAGCAATTACTTTTACTCCCCAGCAGGACTTAAATGTATGGTTTCCAAATACAATAAAGGAAAAATGTTCTTTGGGCACATTCAACAGAGCTTCAACTTGCTAAGCATTTATATACTTTCTGTTGCTTGCCAAAGCCACTGGGCCCATTGTAATGGTCTAAACTACAAGCGTAGAGACTGACTGCAGAGAACCTCCTGATCTTCAGCAAGACAAGGATGATTTCAACACAGACCTCACTCCTCAGACTATCTTATGTTGGAGGACTCATTGGAATCTACTTCAGAGTTTGCCTGATGGGTCAACCCACAGCTTTATCAGTGAGAGACATCCTCGCATAATCTCAGGGTCTCTCTGATCTAAATCAAAAGCATGAACTGAAGACCCACATGAGGGCCAAAGCATTCTGTAGGGGTGACTTCTGCATTGATGGTCAGAGGGTCCATGTATTAAGTGTGTATGTATGTCAGCAATGCAAGTCAACACAGTGGGAAAAGCAAACACTATGCAGACCTTCTCTTTTTTCCTTAAGAATGTGATTCCATACAAGACCCCTACTCAACAGTTCCATCTTGCTACAGGGCAAGATTCTGTTCTCGTATTTATCCTTCCTTTACTTCAAGAAATAATTTGGAAAGATGATTTAGAAAAGGGGATTGAAGGTCAAACTGAGTTCAAAATCCAGCTCTGTGACTCCCTAGCTAGATGATCTTTGGCAATTTAATTAAGTTCTCTGAAATAAGATTCTTTATGTTCGTGGTATTTGTATGGGAATTAATTGAAATAATTAAAGCAAAGTCTCTCGTGCACAGTAGGTACATAATATATGATAGCTGTCACCATGTTTAGCTGGAAAACATGGTTCTTGCCCTCAGCAGTCTCATAATCGAGAGGAAGAGTGCTCACCCCACAAGTGTACTGATCACTAAAAAAGTCAATAGGCCCACCACTAGTGCTCACAAGGAGAAAATAGTACCCATTCCAATGGACAGAGGAAAAAATTAGGAAAATGGCAGTTGGATTTACAAATATTTTCAATGAAACCTTCAGACAGTCCAGAGAAATGATGACAAAAGCAGAATTCTCCAAGTTAAGATTGAGGAGAGACCTAAAGCCAGAGCCAGGCTACAAGTGGGAAGGACACTGAAGCACCACAGCTAAGATCAGGACTCCAGGCCTCATACTTTACAATAAGAAACAACCCATGAACCTCCTTTTTGGAACATGAAGAATTTTAAACAGGAGAACAGTGTGACCTGTTTGTCTAGCATATGGCCATATACTAGAAAAACAGAGACAAGTGTGGAAAAGGAGAAAAATCCACTGCTTGTATCATAAAAAAGAAAATCAAAGAAGTGCCTGATTTTTCTCTGCTCCCCCCAAACTAGGGTACAGATAGTGGCCTCTTACTGTCTTATTGACCCTACTCAACACAATGATGCATTGGATAGACAGTTGTAACGGGAAAGCAGCCATCTGTGTCCTGCACATGTATTGCCTAGGGCTCAAACAGAAGGTACCCAAAACCTTCTATCCTGTGGCAACAAGAAGGCATCTTCATTTCCAGTCTCATTAACAGCTTCGCTCTACTCAGCCAGCAGTAACTGGCCCACAGACTAAATGTTATGCTCATGAAAGGGCATGGGATCCACACAGCCAGCCATGAATTGGTCCCAACAAAGATGGAGAAACGATCCCTGAGAAGTGGGAGGAAGCCATTCCCAGCAGCTGGCCCTGCAGGCTCAGACAGCCCCAAGGAAGCTCCCACACAGTCCCTGCTCTGGATATCCACACCAGATGGTGCGGGGACCAGGCAGGAGGCAGGGAATTGAGATGGGTCTGCGTGTGCACCCCAGCATGAAACGCAGTTGCCGTAGTACAAAGTACCCGTTCATCTCAACTTCACGGAGATGAAGAAAGTAAGGCTCCCATTGGTTAAGTGAGTAACTCAAGATCGCACAGCTAGTAAGTGAATAAGTAACTGTAAGTCAGAGCTGGCTTCAACTGTGTCCTCTTTCCACTAGATGCATTGAGTGTCTCACCTTTAACATTCTGTGTCTGCATATTTCTTTTTGATAGACACAACACTTCATCTTGTCAAAAAATAAGCAAACAAAAATCCACAAGTAATTTAAAAACAAATATATTCATTTCTGCTTTATTATATTATATTCATAAACTACAGAATTAATGGAAATAGGTATACCTTTAAAGAAACATCTATAAATAACCATGTTCTTTTATTTACTTAAATATGAGAAAATTATATATCAATGTCAGAGACTAAATGATATGGGTATATATTTAACTACTAATGCTGCAACCCAGTGGTTTTCAACTCTGTCTGCACATTTAAATCACTGGGGAGCTTATAAAAAATACCAATGCCAGAGCACCACTCCCAAAATTTCCAATTCACTAGTCTGGGGGGCCCAATTGCTTCCAATGTATACCAGAGGTGAAAGCCTTTCGCTTAGGGATAAACATGATGGCCAAGACCAATACTCTCTGAAGGATAGCTGAATAAGTCAGCATTAGTGACAGTGGTTCATACAAATACACAGAGAAGCGTCTGAGAAATGTTCACACTTAACTGCTAAATTCAACTCAGTTCCATATTAACTGTCACTAATCGGTTGTAATCAAATAAGAATTTATTAGATAGCCCTGGGTGGTGTGGCTCAGTGGACTGAGTGCTGGCCTGTGAACCAACGGGTCAACAGTTCGATTCTCAGTCAGAGCACATGCCCGGGTTTCAGGCCAGGTTTCCAGTAGGGGGTGTGCAAGAGGCAACCATGCATTGATGTTTCTCTCCCTCTCTTTCTCCCTCCCTTCCCTCTCTCTAAAAATAAATAAATAAAATCTTTAAAACAATAAAAAAAGAATTTGTTGGATAAACAAAGGACTATATTGCTTGAGGTATATATATAGGATTTTTTTAAATTTCCAAATGATTCTCTGTCAGCATTCAACTTTGTGCTGATATGTATTAATATATAACAATATATAAAAATACAACAGTAAGTGTGGTTATTGTACTTAACTTGATGTGAGACCATGATTTCTATGTTCATTACACACATTACTTCTTTGA